AACCAAGAAACGACCCGAGATCAAGACATAAGGATCAGGAGCAGCAGCCATAACGATAGCACCAGCTGCAAAGACAACATCAGCGAACAAAGTGGCCTTTTTACGACCGTAGTAGTCATTGATCCAACCTCCTGATGCAGCACCGATCATGGCACCAACTAAAGCCATGCTTACAATAGTTTCCTACACACAAAAAAAAAAAATGACATTCATTCACTGAAAGTTATCAATTTTGAAGAGAAATAGGAATAAAGATTATATATATATATACCTGTAAGAAACTGCTTTGTTTAACAACTTGGAAATCATCTTTAATGTACAAAAGGGCACCAGATATTACACCTTTAAAAAAAAGTGACACAACTAAGTTAAATGAGATAAACCTAAAACATAACACTACCAATCCAATGAGAGATATAAAAAGACTTAAAAGTTTCAATTCAAAGTAGAAAACTATCAAATCTACTAACAAGTAATTAAAAGTTTCACCTGTGTCATAGCCGAAGAGAAGACCACCGATACCAGCAGTAAGAGTCAAACCGAGAATGTAAGGATTACCAAAATAAGACATCCTTCTCTCTGGATACATGTCCAAGTACCCTGAGCTCCCTGGTGCTGAATGGATCGTCAATGTCATCTTCTTCCAAATTATATTCTCTCAGTCTAAGAAGAACACTGCACTTTCTAAACAAAAAAAAAATGTTGAATCGCCAAAATAGACAGAGATTTGAGCTGGAGTTTACACGGCTATGCGCATATGCCTACAAGACAATAATAGAAGAAATAGAGAGAGATCTTATAGAAACGTGGCGAGCTACTCTGGATCAGGTTGTCTAATTATTAGCAGCTAACAATGTAAATCATTTTTACCCGCGCAATTTTCTTATGTAATACTACAGTGTAGGGGGTACACGTGTTATAAGTTTAGATGATCAGTGATAACTAGTGGCTCTTGTTTATGTGTATCCACGCTCTTCTCGAACCATCTATATTTACAAAGACATATTTTACATGTAAACGTTTCATTACGTGTAAACCGTGATTTCTAAATTTACTGTAACAGTCAATTACTGCTAATCTGCTACTTATGAAGCATATATATTTTGACCAGAGATTACTAGTTAACTGAAAAAGATTGACTATCGTTTTAAAGATTTCTGGTTGGAAAAAAAAAATAGTAAATGTCATTATTTCGGATCATTTAAAGTGATTATGAATTTCAGACTTAAAATTCGTAATATTCGTAAACAATGCATTCTTGAAATAATAATAGTGGATCAAAAGTATAACAAAGTTGGCAAAAATAGATAAAAGCAAAATATTGTAAACTCCACCTTTGTCTAGATTGTTCTTTGCCTGTGGAAAGTAGCTCTGAGAGTCTATCCAGGCCTTTGTGTTTACCATTCAAGTGATAAAAGAGGAGGACGCAGCTCAGTATACGAATACTAACTATGCTTTACTTGAATTTACATTGCTTACGTACATTTGAATCCGTAATTCTTTGTAGAATATATGAGTTTGTGCATATTCGTCCAAAGAAGAAGCAATCTCCTCCCATCACAGTTCCTTTATCCAGATTTGAGTAAATTGAATACTCCTCTCGAGGAATGTGTGCTCTACCACTCATGCAACTAAGCTAAACCAATAAGAAAAAAAAAACATTTGTATCAGTGTTCAATTTTCTGTAGACTAGTGATTTCCAATTACTGCCAGTGCGTTCAGTGATGCTCAATTGCAGGATACTGGAGAACACACTCCATTTTTTTGTGCCTGTACGTTCAGTGAGATTAGCACTGGTTTCGTAGAACAAGAGTATCAAAGAGGAGGAGTACCTCAAGGACCCTTTTGCCCCTGAAACTTTTAAGGACATCAACAAGAACAATAGCACTCTCCCAAAACTAATTTTTCCCTGCAAGAAAATGATTTTTTTGCAAAACAGAGATTTATGATTTCTCTATATATTCTTAACCCAGTCAGTCATTTTGTGTTAATAGAAGTGCATACGTTTGTTTTTTGAGTAATGAAGCAAAGACACACGATTCATCAACATCAAGAACTTCTAGTGTCTTAAAGCTTAGAAGTGGTTAACCCTCTTCAAAAGTGCATTTGTAGTACCTTGAAAACTTGTAAAGCGACCACAAGTACATTCTCCCCTGGATATATATGTGATGAGCTGCTGTCTACAAAAGAAAGAAAGAAACAAAGAAACCGAGACACTTGACCAAATGGACAAGTAAGGTTCAAAACATTGAGCTTCCAAAGATGTAGGAAACAACCTTTGAAGAAACAATGTGAATGAGCAAGGTAATGCAGAAACAAAGTGAACATTCCCTTATGCTAAACTACAGTATTGATAGTAGACAACATGAGGCACTGCTCTTAGTCAATATCCATAAACAAGTAGAAACTTGTATGTGCTTGCATGGAAAGGCAGAGAGAATATAAATCCACTTATATATTGACTTTAAATGTTACTGGAAAGAGAAGATAAACAAAACTAATAATAACACAGTTATACACAAGACAAGTGATCCCTAGTTTCGAAGAGGTGAGCAAATATAACCAGCTACTACTAGAGACGCGAACACAATCTCTAGGATCCCATGTTCATTACGTCGCAAAGCTTGGAATATCCAAGAAGAGCCAGACTCCTTGGAAAACAAGGAGCATCTAGACATCCTTGTTTCAACACTTACACGAGGATACGGATGGCTCGGTTTCAAAGGAAGTGGGACCAAACTCTCCACGTATGGAGATATAACACAAGTGTCCAGGGAGAGACAATGAATCTCATTTGTCCCTGGATAATACTTAAACAGCCTCTTCTGGTTGTCACAGAAGACAAGATTCCCTTTCTTAGAAACCGCCAATGGCGTGAACCACCTATACCTTCTTCGCCAGGAAACAACTCTAAGTTCCAAACGTATAGAAAAAGTCTTGCTCCATCGTGCATTATCATCCATGCTCCATATATCTAGTCTCCATTCAGGCCATTTACTCGTATGGACATATGCTAGACGCCCCTCAAGGTTCACTATCAGCGATTCCTGCGTGGTCCGTGAAGTAGCTGGAAATGGGATGATGTTGAACTCTTGTTTATGAAGATCCAATGCAAGTAACTTGCGACGCCCTCCAGCTTCAATGTGTAACCAGTAGATGGAACCATTTACACATACAGATTTGCTTCCGGGATTGACCACATGAGAAGAAGAAGGTGGAGGACTCAGTTTACTCCATACACCACTCTGAACATCAAGAACACCACATTCCACCACAGCTTCCTCTTGCCCTATTTCCAGATAGGAAAAACACAACCTCACTACTTTAAATCTTCTAGTTACCTTGTCTCTACCGAACCCCATCGCCCAGTTTTCCGGAGAGAAGCTCGTCCATAATCCTTAAGACAAAAAAAAATATAAAAGTTTTGATTTTTTATCTCTCAAAAATTATTAATAATTATATCTCAAAAAGTTTTGATTTTTATCTCTCAAAAATTATTGATTTTTATATCTCAAAAAGTTTTGATTTTTTTATCTAAAAAATTATTGATTTTTATATCTCAAAAAGTTTTGATTTTTATCTCTCAAAAATTATTGATTTTTATATCTCAAAAAGTTTTGATTTTTTTATCTCAAAATTATTGATTTTTATATCTCAAAATTCAAAAAAGTTTTGATTTTTATCAATACTCAAAAAGGTTTCTCTTTTCTTTAATGTGAGATTAATACCGAATCCAAATCTGCACTTATGGTTCAAGCCGGAAGGGAATCTTCGGATCTGACTAGTTGATGGGTTCAAAACGATGATCCAATCTTGTTCGGGGAAACAGAGCAAACCGTCGCAGGTCAACGAGGGTCGTGAGGCTTGGCAGTGAAGATACACGATCTCTTCGTCTCCTTGGAACCGTGACTCAGGGAGGAGACGTGGACGATCGCCGCAGTCGCAATTGTATGCAGCTAGGATCCTCCGATGATTCTTTTGAAGAACCATACGTTTCTCTGAGAACCTCCTCGACTCCAGGAATGATCTACAATGTTTTGATACGGTTCTGAATCTGATTATCGATTTCAATGGTAGTCGTATGAATATTTCTTCAAGTAGCTCGGGAAGTATGGACATGGAGGAATTAGGGCTCTCTTCTTCTCCCATTCTTTCTTGTGTGCCGACAAAGATCAGAAACTCAGTTTCTGTTTATGTCCGAAATTCATGTAAAAAGAAAGTTTTGTTTCTGTTTGGGCCGCTGGTCCCTTAATTTTGTTTTCTTTTTTTTTTTTTAATTAAAGGGACAAGTCCACACCAACTGTTACTGCAGACAAAAACAAAAAACCCAAAACATATGGGTCATCTAGAAACTGAAATGGGCCTCAAGCCCAAAAACCCCAAAACCTTAACAACAAAGCACGACCGCCGTTAAATCTTTTCCTCTTCTCCAAATCCCACGGACCGAGAACTATGCCGGAATCTCATTTATTTAATTTTCAATTTAAAACCAATTGATAATTAGTGTATTGATCTAATACAATACAATTTTTAAATAGTATTAGTGATTTAAATGTGTAAGGTAGTTGTGGTGAAACATATGTAGGTGCACATTGAATTTTAAGCATCAACTAATATATTTAGAAACTAGAAGTCTAGTTTCATAATGAAATCTCTTTGGAGACTTCAGTTAGGTTAAGATGATCAAAAGAGAAAATGAAACAAACAAGTACTCGTGTCTTAAACTAACTTTAAGTTTCCTTCAATTACGATACTATAAACAAAATGAATCCACGAAACAAGAAAATAGATCTTTCCCAAGAGAAATTGAATAGAAAAGCAGAAATTTTCTTACCTAAATTAGAGTCGACTTCCACCTTGATCTCCTCTCTGGAATATCGATTGCTCTGCATGATCTGAAACAGATAATGTAAAAAATAAGAATTCATGAACCAAAGTTTTTCTCGAGAAAACGCAGAAAAAATAAGTATTGATTTCTTAACTACTTACGAGAATCTATGAAACACAGTAAGAGTAAAAACAATTTTCTCACGAGTCAACTTATGCGTGGTTCTGCAAATGTTTTGTTAGATTTGTGGAGATAAATATTTAAGGGTGAATTTGCCAAATATACATATTTAGTAAAAAATTAAGAAACTAACCATATGCACCGGTGTTGAAAAGTAATGAATTTTTTTTTTAACCAGAGTAGCCAATATTATCCTCGTGAGAGAAAAATATAATTATATTTCTATTCTATATCTTTTTTTAAATAGAATATAAAAAACATGATTGTATCTCATATAAAATAAAATTGAATATTCTTGTAAAATATGTAATATGGTATAGATTTAAAACTCGATTACAGAATATAATATATAAAAAAAAATTAAAATGAATGCATGTAGTAAAATTTTCAGAACATTTTCTTTGTATAGCAAAAAGATCTATGTTTTTAATATATAAAATTAGTAACTTTTAGTTACCTTCTTTGGAGTAGATATACCTCTCAATCATCCATGTGATATCAATCATTTTCGACGTTGCAAACAATGCGAAAACAGCTATTTTTTCCTTATGATTCCATGCAGCTCTTCCATGTCTAATTAAGAAAACAATATCAAATTATGATTCAATAGCAACAAACCAACATATGAGTTACCTCAAACAAACTTCCCAATCATCTGCAGAGGTGTGAGAACCTACAAATTCAAATTGTTATTCGTTAATTGAATACAAATAATTAAATGCAATAAATAGATCCTCACTCACTATCGGTTCCTACCCTATCACAAGGTTTCTTCCTTCCCCAAAATACCATTGTTATCCATGATTCTACCTGCGCAAACATCCATGGTTTCAGAGTTTGTAGGTGCATATTGGTTTTTAAGCATCCATGATTAAGTTTTTGAAAATTCGCTAACTGTTTGCTATGTTTATGGATTGTGCATATAACCAATAAATTTAGAAGCTAGAAGTCTAGTTCCATATGAAATCTCTTTGAAGACTTCAGTTAAGTTAAGAAAATATTTGTTTTTACATTTTCTCAAAGCGTTTCTCTTGAGAACGATCCAAATCATCTTTTTCCTTGATTTTTATGCATTTTGTTGAAGAACAAAGAAACTAAGAAAGATAGGCTTGTAACGGAATCTTTGCGGTTTTAGAGTTTAGCATGGATGAGGAAGTAGAGCCTGAGCAGCATGCCACTATAACGAGGCTCGTGAGAAGAATCATAATCACTAGAGACTGAGGAATTATTCTACTCTTTTTGTATGGGTGGGATGAACCGAAATTTACTGGGGATTTATTGCTATTGGACGAGTACACATCCATCCCTAGTCATTTTGTAAGACGACGAAGAGGACAAGCTCGAGCTTATACCTTTGATATGGAGAAGAAATTTGAGATGTGGAAACAAGACTAAACTTCTCTTCGAAAACTATTCAGAGAAACAGAGCTTTGATGGGATTCTATGAGAGTCTGTTAGAAGTGGCGGTTATCGAAGTTTACAATCTGTTAGAAGTGGCGCCAGGGGCAAACCCACTTAGAATGAAGTGGGGTTACCTGACACCACAAAAACATAATAAATATTTGTTTTCTATAGTAAAACACTAAAGAAACGGTAGTTGAGCTGGTTGAATATGATATCTGAACCCACATAACCCGAGTTCGACTCCTACCAGTTATTTTTGTGTTCTACTCATTTGTAAGATCGTCTGCTACTTCACTGGTGGAAATAGGGGTTCAAGGTATTGTAACAGTGATGAAGCACCCTAGATAGCAGCCGCTCCTGCACCAACAGCTACCACCAGTTTATCAGATAACAAGCCGTTTTAACTTTTGAATCATTATTATTTTCTTTGTTATCATAATCCTGTAAATGCCCAGACATATCTTTGACTTCTTGAGTTTTCCAGTGCTTCCTAAAGACCTGTGAGGTTACTTGCATCTGCTATTGCTACTATGCTACTTAAATTTTTTAGCTTGGACTACTTAGAAGATATGCCATAAGTGGAAAGGATTTGTCCTCAGAAGAGAGCTGTGCAAACTGAACTTTTGGTTCCTAGGTTCTTGTTCAAAGCAACCAACCTCCCGAGCCACCCTCTTGATAGGAATTGTGCTCAGAAGTGCATAGGATTGTCCTCAGTTTCTTCATAAGAGCCGAGATTCCAATACCATAAACGAAGAACCAACCAACCTCCCGAGCCACCCTCTTCATGCCCCCATTAAAACTTGTCCCAAAAATCTCCCTCAAAATTAAGATCCCCGCGACGCTTTCATACTTTTTCTTTGTTAACCTTGTCTACAAAACACTGCTTAAGAATTCTAAAAGCTGACGTTGGGATCGAATCACTAGACCCATATGCTAACACACACTCTCTTCAACTTGAGAGCTTCTCCAAAAAAGCTGATTTGTTCACTTGAGCCACAACAACATCATGATGGAGATGAAGTTCACGTATAAGACACTCAGCGTGATCAGTAGCAGATCTCTGAGATATATTCTGAGCAGAGAATAAGTAACTACTGGTGAAAATATTGTTAATTATATATTTTTTAAAAGTTAATTCGTTGGTTTGATTAAGAGTCTTTTAATGCTTTTACATTTTCAAGTTTTTGGAAAAAAAACAGTTACGTAAGATAAAATTATCAGTTATCAAATCATCCATATAACAAAAAATTGTAGAATGGGTCCGATTGGTAATGGCTGTAGCTTTAAAGTTTTTGCTATAGAAAAAAATCTGTAGACTTTTTGTTGTGGCTTTAGATTTTATTACTGTAGATTTTTTGGAAAGCACTAAAAAATTGCTTTGGATATTTGGCTCTGGAGAACACTTGTATAGCTGTAGATCATTTCAAGAGCTGTGGTTTCAAAAAAAAATTAAAGCTTGATTGCTTTAAATTTAGTGCTGTAAAAATAAATATGGCTGTGGACAGCACCTACAGCAACTACCAATCACCCCCATTATTGAAAGGATACCCCCTTTCTTCAGTGTTAATGCTATGTATTAATGGAAAAATTAGATACAACGGTTACGAATATTACGAACCAAAACTGGTTTTGAAATTTATATTAAGCGTCCAGTTTTTACTCAGCCTTTGAGTAAGAAGACCCTCTCTTGTGTTCTGTACCCTGTTGTTTCCTCTCCTTGTCACTTCCATAGAAGCCTCACGTAAATTTTGAATCCCTCGACCAAGTTTTGCAATCGAAGGAGCTGAAGGGAGAGTCACAGCCGCATGTTCAATCCCTTTTCCATAGACGTGCGATCCCCACCAAATTACAAGACTGGCTCCAAAGACCACCCTTGGTACGGTACCGATAGGTTTTGCTAGTCGATTCCGTATCATCATCGTATAGAATGCACCTCTCATGGTAGAGAAGCTAGTACGTTGAGCAGAAGATAAACCAAACTTTGTTAATGCTCTGATGATTTTCCTGGGAGATAAAAGATGCTTCTCCCAATACATTGGTTGGGCTCCGTAACTAGCAAAACACGGAGTCATTAAGCCCATTACTGTTGACGGGTACGCCACTTTGGTATATGCAAATGGCATTGCCTTGTGAGTCAAGAAAGGGTTCAATGGGGCTTTAATAGTTGAAATCTTGAACACAGGAGAAGCAAAAATGGCCTTGGATAGTGTTAAAGAACCTGAATCATCATTACTATCAAAACCTTGCACCGTATGCTCAGTGGACATATGTTTGACTTCTTGAGGAACACAAGTTCTCCAGTGCCTCCTAAGACCTGCGAGGTTGTCTGCATCTACTACCCCTACTATAGTCTTAAACTTTTTAGCCTGACTACGAAGCTCATCTGCCATAAGTGCATAAGATTTGTCCGTAAAAGAGAGCTTTGAAAACTGAACTTCATCAGTTCCTAGGTTCTTGATAGGTATCCGACCAGCATTGTTCGAAGCAGTTCTAAGACTTTCAACTGCATCCCGGAATATGTAAGCTTCAGTAAGAGCCTCTGTATCAATGGATTCCCCTTTATACACATTATGGAGTAATCTTTTTGGCACTCTTTAGAGCTTTCCTAATAGCTGGGAGATCATCAAATAATGTGTTATGAATCTGAACAAGTAAGTTATAAGTGGAACGAGCAAATTTTGGAGCTCTGTTTGATTTTTTAATCCCTTTACTGAGATGCGAAGATAATAATAGTCTCTACATTACTAATTGATGATCATTGATTAAAGCAGAGCCATGATAAGCTTTCCCTGTGAGAGTTTTCGTTAGATGTTTCATGACAAACGGAGAGTCAAGTACCACATAGGTTGAACCAACCTCCCCAGCCACCTTTTCTGTAACAACCCAGACCCGGCCCATTGACATTTGTATTTTTTTTAAAAGAAAGCCCAACTGCAAAAGGCCCAATAGCTAGAAACCCTAGGGTTTTCCCTCATGTTCCTATAAAAGGAGGTGCCTCCTTCTCTTTTTTCTCATTAGAGAGAAACGAAGCGAAGCCCTGCAGAGATCCCGGGAGACCGAAAGCCCTAGCCGT